TGGTTATTAATTCTGTTCGGGTTCTATATTTATAAACTTGAAATTGGAACAGCCTTTCCTTACGCTAATTTCACAATATAACCAGACCAGAGCAAACATAGAGAGATACCAAATCTGAAAGTATGTTAGAATTGTTTGCTATGGAGGCGTATGAATTGTGATGTGAAGTGATGAACTTGAGATCCTCTGCTACAAAAGAGCAAAGGCTTCTAATACAGTGAGAGCTTGTATTGCTCTCATCGAAATAGGAAAGTGAGATAAAGATTGATGATCTAATACCATGTGGAAGCTCTTCTCCACAGAAATTACTTGCCTTAAGATACACGATACTGAATAAACATGTTCGTCCTCCATCAGTGGTGGCACTTATAAACTTTCTGCTCATTTCCCATTATGATCTCCTTCATGGAACACGTAGTTATTTGTTGTAGATTCTTGATATAAAAAGAGAAAGTATGTATAAGCATCGATCATTAAGTTAGACTTTGTATATTATAATATTCAATTGTTATATACCCATAAAAATAATTCACACCAATTAGAGCATGAAATAATAATCAATTGTAACAAACACTAAATATATATGAAGATATAGAACATTAAATAATAATCAATACTAAATTTCATACCTTGGTAACCAAATAATAATCAATAATACTAAACATCTTTAAGTAAATAAATTTATATATGAAGATCTAAGGGGCAATTGTAAAAATGTCACTTTTGCTGTGTAAATTTGCAAGAATGCTAGTGTGGGTTGTACATTTACAAAAATACCACTAATTATAGATTTTTAAAGCCTAAACCTTAAAATTTCAAACCCTAAAAAATGTTTGAGAAATTTTGAAATGCCACTTTTGGTCAAAACATTTTGGGATAATTGCAACCACTTTTGTTGTGTACATTTGCAAAAATATCATTATGGGGTGTTCATTTGTAAAAATGCCAATAATTATGGATTTTTAAATCTAAATCTTAAATTCTAAACTCTAAAAAAAATTTTGACCCTAAAAACCACTAAACCCTCAAAATTAAACTCTAATCCAACATAGCTAACCCAAACATAATAAAATAATAAAAAATAATTTTTTAAAAGTGGCAATTTTGCAAAGATTTTGAAAATGTGTCATTTTTGAAAAATTGCATTTTTCAAAATTTCCCACGATCTAAACAAAAAATGAGCTGAATAGATTGTGGTGTATAGTCTAGGTT